TGTAGGACAATAATGATAACTTCCGCCCTCCTCTAATTCTATGAACGAAAATCAAGTGTTACAACCGCTGTTTGAACTGTTATTTAACAAACTAAATAACTCACATAATATTTTCTCTATTTTTCAAATATGTTGATCAGGACCTGTCGAATCACACCATTACCATTCATTATAATGCATTTTTCAAAGTCTCTAACTAAAGAATATGAATAATATATTATATATATAAAGCCAAATCAATATTTTAAAGTATCCATTTAGTCACTGTCGCGATTGAATCATTTTATATTTGTTAAAGCATATATTTATATACTCCTTCAACGTGTTGTTATTCTATACGCTACTGTTTTACGTCTATGAATCTTTAAATATCCAATATCTTCTGGTACTTATTGTCGGTCTGTTATTGTATCTCACGGCGATGAAGATTTTAGCGTTTTTGATTGTAAACTGATCAAATATCCTTCGGCGTTTTATTTGCGTTATTACCATTTCAATTGCAGGCAAAAATCAGACTATTCTGTGAATTGCGTACGTATCACAGTCTCTGATTCACATCAAACGAGCCTCTGAACAAATTTGAGTACGAATTGTGGTAAATGATTGCTTCTTTGAAATTGAAACATTCCGTGTAGGTCCAATTACCGGAGTAAAACCATTTTAATGGTACTGTACGATTATAGAAACACGGCAATAATGGCCTAGTTGTGGAGCAAATACAAAAATCATAAATTATACCTTTTAAAATACAGACCAGGAAATAAACAATGTATATTCAATCAGAACTCTTAAATTGAATTGAACAATAATTCTTATATTTAGGCTGGCAGTGGCCGTTGATCAGGTCAAATCGCTTGATACGTGATTTATTCAAATTATATGAAAATGTAGCATACATGGTATAAGTTCAGATAAAGTATAACTTTGCAATTTTAGTTACACGCGGTTTGTATGCATTATAATCCCTTATCCGACCCTATACTGTGCAATGTACTTTCTCGCACGTGTTAATAAAATGACCTCTGGATTATGACACAGTTGTCGACTATTCTTTACATGTGCGTGAACATAATGCAATAATTAATACAATTATATTCAGAACCAAATGACAATATTGAACGCATATCATTAACTGTTATATTCCATATGTCAACAATGTGTCGTTTTCATCACATGATACACCAACACGTGTTGGTCATATATTATTACATTACAATTGGAATTGTAATAATCTTCCAATAAACGGGAATTAGTCACTAGGTTTCGTGTTTTATCGTAATAAATCTAGATAACAGCACAATAATAACAACATAAAGTTAATTGCCCAACACTCACAGCTGTTCTCCTCTTAATGAGCCAGCGGTTTCTTGGCACCACATTTGCATAAATTTTACGAGACGTTGCCTAGTGACGCTCCTTGTAAGTAATACATTTATTATTTATTATAAGAGATGCAATTAACAGAACGGTTTTGACGTCGTATTTTTATCATTAATGCTAGAACCTGACATAGTATGATTGAAAACATAATTTATAGTTTTTGATCGCATGAGTAATTTTACTAGCGAGCCCGAAACGAGTTCTGTAAATATGAAGGACAAGTGAATAATATAATTTTGATGGAGTTTTATTTAAAAACATAATTCATTTCATTTACTCTCCACATTGTTTCAGCATATGTTATGCTACCTTTGTAAACTATTTTTTATGGTGAAAGAAACTTATAATGCTTTGTTACTGTTTAATGTGCAGTTAGGTCAAACATTGTCTGAAGACAAAATCGTTCACACTGCTAAACAAAACGCTACACACAGTTTAGTGATTTACGACATGTTATTACAAATGAAATATATTGAAAACATATTAGTTTTCTCACTGGTACTTGTATATGTTCCACTAAAGATGTCATTTCTGCGTTTAAAACAATTCGTAAGGAATATTATAGTACATCTAGAAATGCAACTAACGACGTCATTCAACATATTTGCATATGTACGCGCAGGGGCAATGAGCGACTCTACATTCTGTTCAGTGATTGGATAACTCGGCATTTCATTCCAATGATATAAAAAATATTGGCAGACGCGCGCTCGCTCAGCAACATTAGTGACGAAAATGTCGTCCCTGAGAACTGAACAGAATTCAAGAGCTTTTCAGAAAAAAGGAGAATAATACATTATACTTCACGGTCATTGCACACACTTATATATTTCCTGTCTATTTTCATAAAGACTGTGAACATTATGTAATAAAGGAGTCTTGAAGCTATTTTCACTCGTGATGATGGATTCTAATTTCACAAGCAAAGCTGTGAAAATACGGTGACGGGATACACCGCATCACTCGCGGAAATAGCTGCCACATAACATTCAGGGTTAGGCAATGGGGTTAAAAAAATAAAATAAAAAGTGGAGTCACCTCTATATGTATAACTATAGTCATATTAGCAAGTTTTCTCCGTCTAGCAGGGATATAGCACAAATTTCAAAACTCTGCCTGTGACATGTATATTGCAAAAAAATCTTCTATGGCCAGAATTGTTAAAAAACCGATCTGGGAACTACAACATCAAACAACAGATTAACAGTGAACAAACAAACTACACATAATTATAGACAGATTTTGAAACGAACTATTCAGAAATGAATAAATTCATTTATACACTGAAATAAATGGTCTGTCACGTAACCATTCTATAATTACGAGTATTTCATCTCCCTCGTTGACTGGTCGCAATTACTTGGTCATACGTGTTTATCAAAACCTGAATAGGTTCGGTTTCAGTCATCGGGATGCAATACGGACCCACGAATCACACAGAATTAAAATCATGTAATATATACTCTTCTCGATCTAATTGCCATGCCATTTAGAGAGTGTTTTATTTCATCCAATTAATTTAAGTTCGACTAAATCAGCTCATACTGTTTTTGTGACAACCCTCTACTCATCCAATCAGTGATAAATTCGCTACACCGATTACACAATACAACAACACGTACACAGGTCTGACAGAACTACTTTAGAATAAAATGCCCGACAAAACCACGCTAGAATACCACGAAACTGCTGTTTTTTGCCTTAAAATAATGCTTCATTCTCTTCCATCATTACGTTGACTTGTAACCATAATATTTGGAAAATAATCCCATCTTACTCTCAATGAGGTCTATACGTTCGTTTGCGCCTTACTGTCTATTGCGGTGATAATGTAGGACTGTGTTATGTACTCTCAATATCGCTCACTCAAGCGTTTATACCACATGCGACGGTCAGTAGCACATCATGTCAATGTCTTTCTACATATTTTCAGACGTTGAATTCTGTAAATATGCGCCTCCCACAGATACATCCAACCGTATGTGTACACTATGATAACAAATTAGAGAGATTGATAAGTGGATTTTCCGTATTCAAACAAAAAGTGATACCAGGTGTTTCTAAAAGGTTAACCCCTTTGAACGCCAAAGTAAACGTTTGTCATCTTTCCCAAATCAAAGCTATACATTTTTGTTATAAATTTTAATGTAGAAAATACATAAAATGGCAAATTAATGCACCGAAATATTGAAAATGATGGTGCTTAATAATTTGAATAAGTTTTTGGGGGAAGGATTTCCTTCAAGTTTCTTATTTTTGGCAATTACGATCATAATCATCTCATGCTTCTCCGTTTCCACTTGTCTGGCATGCGTCATGACTTCCTGACGGGAACTGCTTGGTTATCATTTAGGTCGTTATGTAACACGTGTCGCATAGTATATGTAGAGTATTGTAGTGATTAGGCATGTTTTCGGGTTACACACCGAACATTAATGTCACACACATACGTGATCGATTATTATACTGAGCTATCGGGGTTACTATACCTTATGCAACCTGTAATACGCAATACAACATTCTATGGTATTGAGACGGAAATCACGAAAATGTTTTCAATCTTCAATACATCATTCAGCACTCTAAATACACTGTCAACATACTCATCTTTGAATCCATGTACACGGTTGTGACTGGTGCTACTAAAACATGCAATAGTCAGGGAGAACCAAAACAATCAAATAATATGCAAAAACAAATTGTGTCGTATATAATTAAGCAGAATAAGCAATTCTTGGTTTTCAAACCATCAAATTCTTAGTTGGAAAAACAGATTATTCACACAAATTAAAATAAAATATGCCAACCTTGCAAAACAAACCTCGCTTATGATTCACAGGAAACGATTTCTTTTTCCAATAATGACTATACTATTTTGCAGTATTATCATATATAATGATATATGGACCAAAAATTCCAAACATTCTTTGATCAATTGAATTCGTATCTATCACACGAATGATCATGGTAGAACATCTGCACAGAACTATAAATCAGTAACGATATTATAGAATCCAAATATCTCGAAGTAGTTTCTTTATTCAAGGGCATCGAGTTGGAAATAAAAATTAGTTACCTCCAGACTCGAGATAAACACTTTTTACACGTAATCAGAAGATTGAATATCGATCTTGTTCCTGTAATTCAGTGTACTTGAGCATGATGAATGCTATATTATCAGCTTGCCGATTTCGTTTTACTGTCAGATCAATACAGTATCTGCAGAGTAAAGTAGCTGACCGGCGATAAAATAAAACCAGGCCATTCCTGGTTAAACTAACTTCACAGAATTCGCTGTTTGTATATGCGAACACCGCAGAGAAGTAGAGACACATCAGAATTCAAAATATCTTCCAACGTGTTTATGATTATATTCACGTATCACGTGTACCATGACCTAAATTAAGCCAATAGCATTCTAATTTACTCTGAGACATAGCTTTAAAATACACATAAACTTACTGTATGAGTTTATAACCATTGAAGAAATGGACGGGCTAGGACTGGAGGTATACCTGCAGAAATAAATGGCAGATCGTCTCTCATAATAATAAATGTGATTAAATATATTCCGTATCAATGTATAATTAATAACCCCAGATAATTCTTTTCTTTTTCAGTTTTCGTGAGGAATTGTGCCTCAGAACACACCAATAATGTGACGTCTTTAAAATCAGCGGGTGTCGTTATTTTCAATCTAACGCATACAAACCCCAATTCGCCATACAACTGCTCCCTAAGACTCAGTGTTTCCGAGGGGAGGCGAATGGCTCTCACATTTCAAGGGGAACTTTCTTTTCCCGTCGAGCATACAGCAATGGTGGACGGCGATGACATCATATACAATTGTTCTGGAGGATATGTTGCGTTAACTGACCCAATATCAAGCAGAAGTTTGACTCAACCAAGAAGCATGTGTGGGACTCAGTCGACTAATGAATGGACCTCATTTCTCACTGACAGCAACGAGGTCACTATAAGCGTCATAGTACAAAATGAAGATTTCAATGGAAGTATCCTCTTTGATTTGAAATATGTGGCTTTCTTAGACGATACAAAAAGTAAGTACAGTATTGTTTTAGTACCGCAATACCGACTCTAACACATGTACGTGTTGAAGGGAGGTCGGTATAAAACTATTTGCGGAGGTCATATTCTAGTTCATTAAGCTTTTATAGTTCCGTATTATAGATAGTAATCACTGTACTAAGAGAGAATGTGGTTTCCATGGCTCCCCGTTGTGTTGACTGGGAGATACAGCTGACGGCTACCATGGAAATAACACGACATACGTCATCAAAAGTAAAATCTTGCATTATGTGCTATTTAAACAGTGCGTTGTCATAATGTAGCTAAACTGCAGCTTTTAATATTTAGTCGAATGTCTGGATTTAGAGTTGCATCTTGAAAGCTTGTTCAATAACATTGTGTGTGTGTGTGTGTATGTGTGTGTGTGTGTGTGTGTGTGTGTGTGTGTGTGTGTGTGTGTGTGTGTGTACTTGGATTGCTATATGTTGCGAGGACAAAAATACAGATATATAGCTACTTACGAGGACATACACACCTTCCGAGGACCTTTTTCATAGTCCTCGGAAAACATAATTTATATTAATAGCTAATTCGATTATTAATACGTTTTGCGTAGCTTAGGTT